GAGATCAATGGCATAACTGTAAATGTGTATTCATTGACTCTTTTGAACGGTATGTTAGGTCAATTTTGCAAACCAAAAAATATTTTGGGTCAAAATGGTCAATTTACCAAATACTGGGTTGGATTCTAGATAACCATCTATAAGCTTCCTCATTTACCATTTTCATTATTGTTTCCACTTCCCTCACCCATGGTTGCTTATATGTGGCATTTGCTGCTACTTATAATCGCTTTTTTTTAGAACTTATCTCATGTTGTTATACGTGTGCCTGACACAAAATCGATGATCTACACCTTGAGTCATATCATGCAAGCTAGGCACTAACCCCTATATAAAAATAGTTTGCAAATATGTATAATTATAAAGAAAATAGTACCAATGAATAAAAATAAAATACATTTTGTTGGTTAGGGATGAAGGTATATTCTCAATCTAGCTTGTACTAAATAGCATCTAACAATAGTCGTAAAATCCATGTCCATAGTTCTTTGGTTTCAGCTTCAACCATCGAAGAAATAAAGCGAAAAATGTTGGTCATTTGCATCTCCACTAACTGTGCAGCCATAAGTTACCCTCCATAAGAACCTTTCAAGTGATAGGCATCAAACCTTATAAAGGGTCTACACGTCCTTTTAAAAATCTTTGCTCTCACCTATCCATAGTAAATATAAAGTCATTGAAATATTTGGATCACCCTAATTTTCCCAACAATATAACCTTTAATGATCTCATTCTTATCCCTTACATGTAGATTCAATTTAGCTAGAGTCTCATGTTTGATTTACACAACTTCTCACAATATTCTCGTAATTTACTATATATTTCTTTATGAGAACCATGCACAATATTTAACGCCTTTTGTTTGGTCCTCCTTGCTTTGCTTCTTGAATTTAAACCACATACTTTCTTTTTACTCTATCTTGAATAGAAATTATTTTGATTTCAAGTTGCTCTCTCACCTAATCAACAATGTGCTTACTCTTATACAAAAGAAAAACAATGTGCTTACTTAATTAATTCGATGAAAGTCGTTGGTTCTTAAATGCTCGACTACATGTATGTAAAAGTTTTCAATTGGAAAGTCTTTTTTTTAGCAAAGAGCAATAACTAGACTACTTGCATCCCTGTACACACTTTGCTCTAACTTATCTGATCATTTTTTAAAAAATCTAATATTCTGTCATCCTTTCACAACATAATCATTTACAGCATCTTTAAATTCATCCAATGATATAGATAATATGCTTAACTCAAATATCAATGATTCATCATCTCCACCTCTCTTAAATGACGAGTACTTTAGCTTACAATTGTCATCTGATTCATATGAGTTCTTCGATGACTTAATTTCATTAGAAGGTATTTCAACATCAGACTTTATTATATCATCACCCTCATAAATTGTTAAACTTTTCTCCATGTTAAGACCACTGCATTCTTTCACTTTTCCTTCTACACATCTTTCGGCACACAAATCAAGTACTAAGTCATTGTATTCCTTATTACTACATAAATACTCACTATTTCCATAAAAGTTATCATGATCATCATTAAAAGACTCATGCTCCACATATAGTTCAAAACTCATCCCATCGTTTATAAGTCCAGCCGACTCCATAACGTCTCCATCACTCTCTAGCACACGATATCCTCCAACATCATTTGTAGGATCCCTACCCATAATTTCTTCTAGGTAGTATATCCAAGATTTTCCACAATATCCACTACTTCAAAGTAAGACCTTATATCTAGGTCAAATCATGGATTAAATCTACCTTTCTATTCTTCTATCTCATATTAGGATCACATATGAACTTCCCATCGTGATGAACCTCTTTGCTAAACTTTGGCATCTCTATACGACTTGCAAAACAAACTTTAAATTTTTAGAAATAAGGGGCACTTGCAAATTAGTAAAAAAATTAATATTTATTTGCAAAATTGGCAACTACATTCAACTCATGCTTGGTCTAACATACTACTAAAAATGTCTCAATATGTTGCTATTGTTTCAAAACAGCCTCACATTATGCTTGATTATGTACACCATTAGGACCACGAACATGAGTTTGCAATTTCTTTTTTTTTTTTCTTGCAATTAGAATATCTTTCACTAATAAAATGATCACCTTCTAATTGTTCACCAACTTCTGATTTGAACAAGTAGCAACATAAACAAAATGTGACATCCTTTGAAATACTATATTCTAACCAATTAGGATATCCATCTTCTATATTGGACCTATCAGAATTAGTATTACTCTTCTTCTAATGACTCCATTGTTGTTTTACTTTTATAATATCTCACCATATTAATTTCAAGTTAAATCTACATAAATATTAATCGATAATATTCAAGAACTAAAACATAAATTTCAGAAGAACTAAAACTAAAAATCTAAAATAAATTGGAAGCTTACTTGTCAATTGTATATTTTAACTTTCTAATTAAAAAGAAAACTGTCTTTTGAATTTAACTTTAAAATTGATAAAGAAAAAAATCAACAATGTACATAGAAAATTTAAAAATTAGATTTATTTATCAATATTTTTTTATGCAAACAAAAATAAATGATACCTTGAGTACCGGAGATTCAATATTGTTGAGACTTATGAGTGAGAAAAATAAATGCCACTAAAACATGCATTTGGTATAAATTCAGGAAAATTTCTTGGTTTCATTGTAAAACATCAAGGAATTGAAATTGATCGGTCCAAAATTGACGTCATTAATAAATGTCAATGTCAAGACCTAATAACTTACCTGAGTTGAGAAGTCTCTGAGGTATTCTAGCCTACATTAGAAGATTTTTTCCAACCTAATTCGACAATGTCATCCTTTTCAAAGGTTGATAAGAAAATATGTGAATTTCAAATGAGATCAAGCATGTCATAATATTTTTGAAAGCATAAGAAAATATATATGCTTAATCATCTTGTCTTAGGTGCACATATAGTAAGAAAATCACTAATATTATATATCATTATGCAATAGAAATCGTTTGGGGCATTGTTGGCTCTAGAGGAGAGAAAGGGAAGTCACAAGCTCTTTAATACATAAGTATAACTTTAATTGGAGCTGAACTAAATTATATTACTCCCAAATTGAGAGATACGCCTTTCACTTTTCCTTATCATCGACAAATTAAGGCATTATTCCAGGTCTTCACAGTCATCTTATAGCTAAATCTGTCATATCAAAGTCAATCATTTCTGGATAGTAAATGAATAAGTTTGCTCCAGCAGTATGATATCGTTTACGTATTGCAAAAGTGATGAAAGGACAAATAATGTTGGCAGATTTCCTACCAAATAAGGTCTTGATATAGTCTTTTTTATGGATTTTGTACTTTATCTAGTTTGATTTTATTTTCTTTAGTAGACTTGAGTTGTGGCATAATTTTATTAGATCAGGTTATTGTCTTGTGAAAGAGACAAGTGACTTTGATTCGATTTGTTAATTGGGAGACATGTGTTAATTTGTAATTGATTTAGAAAAATAATATGTAATACGTCATTAGTTAAAATAATTAGGTGACAATTTGTGATTGGTTGAAATTTACCACTAAAAAAATGTCTCTTTCGAAATTTATGCACTGAGTATACATCTATAAATCTTGAAAATAATTTGGAATCGAAACTTGTGAGATATTTTATAAAACCTGTGACATTTTTAATGTGTCAAATAATAAAAACATGAATTTAGTATAGTGTATGCTCTTACCTTAATCCTTAATTCCAATTTTGATTGGAGGTAGAATTTGGAATACGCCCAAATTTTGATTTGATGGCCTCGAATAAGATTTTCGTTTTGATTGAATTTGATTTGAATTTGGAATAAAATTTGAATTTGATTTTTTTGAACTCCAATTACTGGCATATTTCAAAATTTATTTTATTAGTTTTTATATTAATTTGGGTTGATGTAACTTATTATTCTTATTTTTCTAATTTCTTTTTTTTTTTTTGGTCTTCTCTATCGTCCCTCCTCATCCAACCTGTTCGTGTTCTTCCCCTTTTTATCTTGCTCGTTGCCGCATCCACCAGAATGGGTATGGAACAGATCTGGTAGTTAAGTTCAACTTCCACCGAAAAGCTCGTCATTGTAATGGGCATGAACGCCCAAACGACGCTGAACCAACGATCCCCAATTTCAATTTCAAATCCAAAACCCTCTTCTTCTTTAACCAAGGATCCATCTGCTGCAACATTGAGCGTTGAATCGAAGCTGAAACCGAAGCTATGGTGTGTGTATCTCATCATCTCCTCCAAATCCCCCTTTGAAACCTATGTTGGGGTCACCACGTCCAATTTCTTCGACTGGGTTCGCACAAATTTTTATGAATCGAGTTTCAATTTTATCTGGATCGTGTTCAATTAGTCGTTCGAAGTGATTTTTCGAGCCATTTGGCTTCAATTTTGGTGAAATAGTGGAATTTCTTTCAAGAACCATGTTCGGGTTAAGTCATTTGTTACGGAGATAAGCTCGTCAATTTGGTGCAAGAAGAGGGAGCAATGAATGAATAAGTAGAGGTAACAATTGGTGAAGAAATTAAATAAAAAATGATATAAAAAAAAAGCCCAAATCTGTTTCATGCCCATTCTACTATTCTAGTGGGTGCGGCGTCAAGCCAGAGAAAAATGGGGAGGAAGAGGTTGGAGAGACTACCCAAGAGAAAGGGAAGAGAAAAAGATGAAATTAAGGAATAAACGAAAAAGCCATGTAAACCTAAATTAATATAAAAATAATAAAAATTACCCCCTCATTTAAAAATTGCAACCTCGTCTATGTCACTTCATTTTTAATTACAATTTAAGTTATGTCACATCATTTTTCCTTGTCAAATCTGAGAGACTGAAGTATCATTTTTCCAACGTCAAGTATTAAAAATATATTTTACTCTAAATAAAAAATACTTCAAGTCACAATTTAACCTTAAATTAATTATAAATAAATGATTCATTTATTAAAAAAAGAAAAGGTGTATCGTGTGAACTAAAGAGGGTGATTCATTTTCATCTTCCCCAAACCCTCAAAAATTGGGGGAGAAAACAAAGGAAATGCCCGTTCCCAAATCCGTCTCCTCATTTCTGTCCCGCCATTTCTGCACCAAGCCCAAGCTTCCAAGCTTCTCCAACATCCCTTCCAAGTACAGGCCACACTCCATCAAAGAAGCTCAGAAGGCGCTCATCGATTATCTCCACACTACCAGATCCTTGCCCTACACCTTCGCCGAGCACATTGCCAAGAATTCCCTCTTCTCCCTCTCCAATCTCACCCAAAACATCCACTTCTCCGCCCCCAAATTCTCCCGGAGATTCAGGAAATTCCTCAGGTACCATCCCATCAACGAATTCGAGTTCTTATTCGAGAGTATTGGGCTGAATTACGATGAAATCGCCGCGTTTTTGCCGCCGAATAAGTTCTTTTTCTACGAGGATCGGAGCGTCTTGGATGCTGCTTGTGCGCTCTCCGGATTTGGATTTCCGTGGAATATGCTCGGGAAGTTGTATAAGGAGGAGGCATCAATTTTTCGTAAAACTTCGTCCGAGTTGAATTCTACGCTCGACGAATTTAAACGCTATGGATTTAATTCCGTCTCCATAATCTGTATCTGTTTGGCTTTTCCTCATGTGTTAGCTGGTGGGATTGTTGCAGGATTGCTCGAGGGTCTGAAGAGCGATTTCTCTGAATTTTGTATGGTGGAGTCTGAAGGAGATTTTGGTTCCTGTTATGAAATCTGTAAGAAATTTCGATTGTTTTACAATTTGGGTCTTGAGAAAGGTAAAGTAGGGGCTCTAATGAGCAAGAAGAAGAGTATATTTCTTGAATTTCCTGAAGAAATTTTGGCCCAAAAGGCAGATTACTTTTGTAGATTTGATGTGAAGAAACAGGATGTAGGGTTGTTGCTTGTTCATAGTCCTGAGATTTTGAATCTTGATCTGAACTCACCAATGATTTCAGTGGTGGGTCTGTTGAAACATGTAGGATTAGGCACTGATGAACTGAATCATGTTGTAGATAAGTTTTCTCATGTCTTAGGTAGAAATCAAATGACTAATTTGCCTAATATTATGAGAGCTTTGGATCTGCACAAATGGTTTTTCTATGAGATAATGAATGATTATGAATTGTTGGCCACCTATTGCTTGAATTCTCCAGATGAAGATGTCGATGAAGGTTTCGGTTTAAGCTTGGAGACAATCCGGTTGTCTAGAACACCTACTCACACAATGAATAAGTTAAAATTTCTTCATGGAATTGGGTATGGAGAGAATTCTGTAACCATAGGGGTCTTGTCTAGGCTGCACGGTACCGACCGGGAGCTACAAGAGCGGTTCGATTGCCTTCTTCGAATGGGCATTGAGTTCTCGAAGCTATGTTCGATGATACAAATTGCTCCTAAGATTCTAAACCAGAAGCCAGATATTCTTGAACAGAAAGTGGAGTTTCTTTGCAGGCAAATTGGATCGTCGTTGGAATACCTTGACGTTTTCCCGGCGTTTTTGTGTTTCGATTTGGAGAAGCGTATGAAGCCGAGATACAGGTTTCACATGTGGCTTAGAAAGAAGGGGTTGTGCTCTAGAGATTACTCCATTGCTAGCATAATGGCTACCAGTGAAAAGAAGTTTGTAGCACGTATTTTTGGCATTCACCCAGCTGCACCAAAGCATTGGTTTGAGACTTTTTCATACACAACATCTGCTCACAATTGACCATTGGTCTATCACTTGGTATTCTTCCATTTCTTTTTGCTCATTTCTCCATAATTGTTCTTCAATCATATTAATCCATTGATATTTTAGGTTAAATTACAAATTTAGCTGTTTGATAATGATTTTTTTTGGGTTTTAAAACCATTCTGGCTTGCTTACTCAATTTTGTTTTTTTTTTTTTGGTATATTTTATATTTTTCATTTTTCTAAAAAACACTGTTGAATGTTTTAGCTAATTTTTTCTTTTTTTAAAAACTACTCTTTTTTTAAAAAAAATTTTGTTTAGATTTTGGAAGCATTTTTAAAAAGTAAATAACAAAATAAAGAAATATTAAGATTACACTTTTGTCATATAAAAGGGGCAAAATGGCCCAAATAGGATGGTATCCCTTTGATTTTTAACAAGTTGCGCTCTTGAATATATATTTAATAAACAAATTAATCATAAAATTTTAAATTGCACAAACTGAATTTTTTGGCAATTTATGGATATATTTGGGAGTGGCGGTAGAATTAGTAATTTAAAAAAAGATATTTAAGTAGAATTGATTTTTCAAAATCATCGTCCAAGTGATATCTTAAAAATTTATTTAAAGTGATTTTAAGTTTTCTTAAAATCAATTTTCTAATTTGGCCAACATATCAAGTGAAAGTGATTTTGACAATGGTATTGACACTCCAAAAACTCCCTAAATCAAATATGTCCGCTATCCACATCCCTAAATAATCTCAAGTTTTGAAATCTATCGACTATAGCACCGCGTAACTTACCTAAAGAAAAAACTTTTGGCGATTTTAAATTTCCTTTGCCTTCCATTTTTTTAAATCTCCTTTGCCCTCCATTTTTTTTTCCTACGTTTCATTTCAACCGGTGGGAGTTTGTTGTGATTCTAGCATTTTCCGGCAACAATAAGGAACTTTTTTTGTGTCGGAAGTTTTGATTAAAGTACCAGATGACCACATGCAAATGAGTTTCAATCAATCAGGAAAGAAATTTTGAATCTCACCAGAAAATTCTAGTTTTCTTTAGGGATTTTGCAGTTGGATTTTAATAGTGAGGCTACCGCACCATGGGTGTCATCATCGTTGTAGAACCGATGTCGTGGAGGGACGTCACCGACGTAAGGGAGTCACATCGTCATGGAGGAATGTTGCCATCACTATTATTCAAATTTGGGAATGCACCACCAACTGTTGCAGATCATTGTTTGTGGTGGGTTGTGTCATCACGAGTTTGCAAAATAGGGGCTAGAGGGCACTACTTTCGAAATGGAGAAAAAAAATAGAAAACATAAGGTTTCTTTTCTCCAAAGAAGAAAGAGATGATTGCACCATAGAGAAAAATAGTATATACCATAACATATTATAAAACATATCGAGGGGTACATTATTATCACACCTTCTAGTTTAGTATTTAACGGTATATACCATATAATCTTTTGGAGGAGTATATGTTTATCATTTTGTATAGGGATAAGTAAACTATTAGGCTATATGGAGATTCAAATTACACTAATGTTTAAAATTTTACCCTTTTTGTCTTAAAATTTGCCCAAATATAATGGAGCCCTCTAGAATTGGACTAATTTGCCCTCTTAAATATATAAATAATAAACACAAAAATCAAAAATTGACCCACAAAATCATTGGTGGTCTAAATGAAATATCCCTACATAAAAGGCATTATAGCAAATTTCTCTCTCCATTCCATTTGATCTGTTTCGAAACCTTTCAAATTCCACGTAATCAAATCGATCGACTTCTTCCCTTTTCGTTCCCATTCTGATGCTTTCTATGCAACCAGTAAAGGAAGTAAGTTTTTTAGTCAATGGGAGAAGAAGATTATGTATTTTTCTTCAATTTTGTTGGCATTTTGCATTGTAAAATTTTTTTAGTGAATTTTAATTGTTCTGGTTTTAGCCGCCTACTTTTTGGGAAATTTATGGTGGACTATTGGGGTTTCCAGTACATTGGAGGTACAACTTAGGATGGATATTGGAGGAACCTTATATACACACGCATTGCTATATGGTTTGAAGTTTTATTTCGGAGTTTAATATACTGTTATATACCAGTTATTCAATGCTTTTTAGTTTGATTATTGAAGTTTTATTTTGGGGGCACTTTGAATTATTTGGTTTTGTTTTTTCGGTTTATGATTGGGAATCTATTTTTGACGGACTATACTATTGTTACTCAGTCTAGCAATCATTTTAGATTATGTAACATACCATAATAGTTGTCCTTTGATCTCGAATATATAATAGAACATATTATATACTAAGAGCATTTAGTTATGCTTAATTAAATTTGTTCTTAACAAAAAAAAAATTGAGTTATGGTGGTGACCTATGTGGTATATTATATACAATTTATAAATCTTTTTATAGTATATAAGGATATAAATTTAAAGAAACTGTTATAATTTGGAACAATAAAAAATGAAACATGCAACATATACGTTATATTGTCCATTTAACTAACAAGATATATTATATAAACTAGTATACATAACTGAATATATACTATAGTTACAGATGTGTATATAGAACATAACGTAGTGAGAGAGTATATTAAAGTAAGATATATTATAATCTAGTATGCATAATTGAATATATATAGAGCACTCCGACTTCAAAGTTTAAGAAAATTGATTTTGTATGTTTTTTTTAGCATTGTTTGTTAATTGTGGTTTGATATAACAGTATATAGTTTATATTTCATATATAAGTTTATGTGAGATTGATTCCGGTTAATCGATTCTTCATCATGAAATCAACACTTATTGTTTATAGCCAGATATAGTTTATATCTACGAATAAGTACCAAGTGAGTAGTTGATTTTGCTTCAGTTCTAAGAACTTAATAGTCTGATATAGTTTATATATGTTTGTATTGTCTATTGGGATATTGAGTATATAGTTTATAACTGACTCATAAGTGCTGACGTATATAGTTTATATTAATACACACAATCGTAAAGTATTATTATTTGAATTGATTATTTCCATAATCCTCTAATCCCTTAAAATTAATTACAAAAAGATTAGTATAATATATGTTAACAATTTAGTATAATATATCAAGAGTAAATTAAGGGATTATGGAAATAATTGATTTGGGGCCCACAATAATTAAAGGTTTAGAAAATCAAATTAGAAATTTAAATCTTTTACATTTAAATAAAAAAACTAACAATAATAAATATAAATGTCATAAATAAGGGTAATATCCACATTAATAAAAATTACTAAATCCAGAAATCTAAAAGTGTAAAATTGGAAAAATTTAGACATTTCTGAAAATAAGTTTTTAAAACAGTCCGTCCAAGACATTATCTCTTTCGTATATTAGAAGAATAAAATGAAAAATATATTATGTTGCAGTATTTGGAATATATTATATAATCTAATAGTTTAATATATATAATAATATAATAGTTTTTTTTTCTTTTTTTGATAAAAAAATACTTCATTAATCAACCGAAAGGTCCATAATGGCCACAACTTCCAGCCAATTGGGGAGTGAAAAATCCCACATTTCACTCTCCCTATTCTTTAAAGCACGACGCGCAAGGTGATGGGCACAGTAGTTCGCAACCCGATCAACCTTTACAAAATCACAAACCCCACCCGTATCTTGCCAATAATGAATTTCATTAACAACCTAGAAAATTACTATCAAATCGGTATCTTCTCCTCTCAAGAGCGACACCACCTCTACGGAATCAGATTCCACTTGGATTGGAAAAGTTACAAGATAGTTCTTCGCCCGAATCCCTTCAAGAACGGCCATGGCTTCCAACGCCTTGATGCTACTAGGGTGGTCCACTGATTTGTTCCCTGCAAGAATAATTGCGCCCTCCCAGTTCTGAAGCACCCAGCCGAGACCGCCCGTCTGATGAACTGCCGACCAAGAAGCATCAACGTTCAGTGCCCAAGTATGAAGGGGAAGAGGTATCCATCTTGACACTCCCTTTAATACACTACTCTAAAAGATGTTTTGTCCTGTATCATATATTTTCTTGTCTGCTCCAACAAAATCGCCAAATTGTGCTGCTCTTCTTTAAAAACGATGTTTTGTTTGGGGTTGAAAATACCCCGGACACGTGGAGGACCCCTATTTGTGCTCCAAGATGACTCATGAGTCATGCCCAGCTCGGACGGCCGA